CGTCTACACTCCATCATTGTATCCTTTTAAACCCTATCTTTGTCCCATTACTTCACCAGCACTCCTTCCAAACTTCATTCTGCTCTTAAAAATAACACCTTCTGCGAGCTACTGCTATTCGTCCAAGGTTCGCCGCTCTTCATCCTTTCACAGAAAATACTTGTGCAAACTATTAATTCTACTTTTCTTATTTCTGGGTGGTATTGAGCTTCATCCTGGCTCAAATGAAAATAACTCGTATAATTCTGTAGATTTTTCTGGCAGGAAAGGTGTTGGTGTTCTACATGTCAACATCAGAGGGCTTGTGATTAAATTAAGTCAACTAAAACTAGAAGTGGCAAATCTTGACCCGGACATTTTTTGGCTAACAGAAACATCTCTCACTCCTGCCGTCAATGACTTTCAGATTGCGAATGACAACTACTACAACCTTAAAGCTTTCGTGACTGCAGTAATTCATATTCTTAGTTTTTTCGGTAAAGTCACGTTGAAGAGAAACAACAAAATAACAAAATATATATAAAACAATAAAAATTCTCACGACGTTTCGACCATAACTCAAACGGTCATCATCAGGTGTGTCGGTTTGCATAAATTTATTTTGAAAACGGCATATTTATTTATTTATATATATAAAAAAAACGTTTGCGTCACGCGCAACGATTGGCTGTTTGCCAGGACTAGTCCATTTAATCTTGAAAAGAGGAGGGGGGAGACGAAATTTGTTTTTATGTATGCTGTCTGAAAGCCACTGTAAGCGTGAACAATCAATCAAGAACTGAAATGATTTATCAAATCTTTCCAATGATTGCTTCTATCTTAGCAATCATTGGAAAGATTTGATAAATCATTTCAGTTCTTGATTGATTGTTCACGCTTACAGTGGCTTTCAGACAGCATACATAAAACAAATTTCGTCTCCCCCCTCCTCTTTTCAAAAAATAGATGGACTAGTCCTGGCAAACAGCCAATCGTTGCGCGTGACGCAAACGTTATTTTTATATAAATAAATAAATATGCCGTTTTCAAAATAAATTTATGCAAACCGACACACCTGATGATGACCGTTTGAGTTATGGTCGAAACGTCGTGAGAATTTTTATTGTTTTATATATATTTTGTTATTTTGTTGTTTCTCTTCAACGTGACTTTACCGAAAAAACTAAGAATATGAACTACAACCTTTTTCGGCTTGACCGAGGATCTAAAGGAGGATTGCATGTTCACTAGCTCACTCCTTGTTTAAAAAACGTTGTTGAAGGTCTGGCTCTCAAAATAACTCTCCCAAATAATCAACAGATATTGGTAGTGTGCTTCTATCGACCGCCTAGTGGGAAGGATGTTGAAGCTGCATCTGCACTGAGAGAGCTTTTTGGGGGCCTCCCTAAAGGTGAAATAGTTTTAGTGGGTGATCTAAATTGGAATTGGCTAAACCCGTCGGCCGTGGCCACAAATTTTGCTGATGAATTTAATCTGTTTCAATTAATAAATGTCTCCACAAGACCCAACCTAAAAAATCCAGGACAGTCATCTCTGCTCGACGTCCTATTGACAAATTCCCCTCACAATTTCACACTGACTGGTGTTCTGAGTAATAACCTTAGTGATCACTCCTTCATTTTTGGGGTGAGATCATCAGCCAGATCCAAAGCCCCCCCTAAATTGGTTGAGAAGCACTCTATGAGACACTTCAGCACTCAGGCATTTACTAATGATGTGCTGCACTCGGATATTGACATTGTCTGTGATATCCCCAACCTGACTACGGCTTGGGAGACCTTCAGGTACACGTTTCTCCAAATTCTTAACAAACATGCTCCGTTGGTTAGATTTAAAACTAAAGGCAACCGCCCACCATGGTTTGATTCTTTGATTACAAAGCTCATGAAAACTAGGGACAAGGCTTGGGCATGTGCTCAGAAAAGTAATTTGGTCCATGACTGGCTAGAATACAGGATTTTAAGGAATAGATGCGTCAAAAAAATACGGCATGCAAAAAATGCCTACTTTTCCTCCACTCTCGGAATCATGTGGAAATGCCAAGATTTTCTGGAAAACAATCAAATGTATCGAAAAGACATCCAAAACAGACAATCTGCCCGTTGAGCTTAACCGAAATGGGGAATATTTTTCAGATCCCAATAAAATAGTTGACAATTTTAACCTTCATTTTTCTGAAGCTGGTAACCGTTTTGATAATGTATTGGGAATCACCCTTGCTCATGCAAATTCCTACACCCCTGTCCAAACATTAAACGAATTTAGTTTCCAGCCAATCCACGAAAGTAATGTTCTGAAACAAGTGTCCTACCTCAAACGGTCCTCCTCTACTGGAGCACATAGTATTCCCATCTTTGCTCTACTAACTGTTGGTCACCTAATATACAAACCTATAGCCCAAATTTCAACCTGTCCATCAAAGAAACATCAGTTCCTCTAGAATGGAAACATTCCTATGTCCGTCCACTTCACAAAGAGGGCCCTAAAGATGATCCAAATAACTACCGACCTATCTCAACTCACGACTCCAACATTACTCGAGCTAAAAATTTTACTTGCAAGAAAACAGATCATATATCTCAATGGGCTCTCTCACCTGCCCCCCCCCCCCCCAAAAAAAAAAAATGGGGCAACAAACAGAATTTTTAGGTTACTTAAAAAAAAGCATGTGGTTCTGGCTCCATCAATGGAATGCAATCTGTGAGTTCAGGACATCAGTGTGTCCCCATTCGACTGAGCAATTAATTCCAACTTGCAAACCATTGCTCAATTTATACTCTCAAGCTGAACAGAATTGATTCAACTTTGGCCACTTAATTTTTTTTTTGGGAGTTGCGGGCGGGGGAGCGGCAGTCATTACACACGTTATTCTTTTCTTTTACGGGTGCATTCATCCCTGCTAGGTGTACGACATTTCACTGGGCGTACACGGAGGCCGTTTCACGCGATGAGACAATGTTCATTTTTCATTTGTTCACCCTTGGGGCTTGAACCTTGGAACACGGCACCCTCGGCTCACTACGCTGCCACAAGGTGTGAGGCCAGTGGGCTATTCAGATGCCTGCTGGATTGCTTATATATAGTATCGCTAATTAATTCCATTGTGAGTGGGTGGTGTGCGCTGTCGAAATAGCTGTTGCTTAGGGACATGCCACTTCGTCTAAACATATTCAGAGTCACCCGGCAGTATAAATGGATACGTGGCAGTTCGTCGATCAGCAGGTTGTGTGTGGTAGGGTGAAGTGTGGGTACTCCCACCCCTTCAAAGACGTCTGGCCAGCGTGGAAAGGTGGTCCACATTCCCTCTAGAGGAGCGCTCGAGAGCGCCCTCTAGTCGAGGCCCTTCCACCAGCAGTGGTGTGAAAATTCAATTGCAGGGCCGTGCCTTTACCTTTTGTTTTACACAACCACCGTTTTATTTTTTTTTCTCGCAATCAATATCTGTGAACTAATTATATTAACAGCACAATTAATTGGAATGGAAATAGGTTTATATCGAGTTTTATTGACAAATTATATTGATATCCCTTGTGTGCGTGGCAGGTGTTTTGTGCGTGTGCTTGTGTGTGTTATGGTATAACTTCGATCTAATTTAGTCAGGCTGCACAATCACCATCTATAATTTCAACAAGGATCCCCTAAATGCCTGTTTTTTACACTTATGCTACGAGTATGAGTGATTTTTATTTTTAAATACTCCTAACTGCTCAGTGGTTAGTACAGTACATTTATTTGAAATCCAGGAAAGAGTCAACTCAAACCGTCATCCCCAATGAAGACATTTCGGAGAAACTGGCTCCCACCATGGGAATGAGGAATTTCCACCGCTGGCTCAGGGCCACCCATGGTGTTGAGCATCACCATGATGCTCGCTTGAACAAGGACACACGAACTATGCTAAATTTGGTCATCTTAATCGGTTATTGTCTAATAACGGCTGGATGAAGTCACCTGGTTCTGCAAGCCACCTCTATGTTGCAAACGAGGAGCCAGTCTAATCACTCCATCTCCGTCAGAGGCTGTTCTCTCCGGCGCAGTCCTCTTCATCACTCATCATGCCTTTTATGCAATCCATTATACTGATTCAGGTTTCTTAATAGTCAATACATATGATAATAATAATAAACACAGCTTATATGGTGCCTTTCGTAAAATATCAAGACGCTGATTTGTGATGACTCCATGATCCATGTGCTCCCTTTCTGTCTCTTCGTATAATTCCGAGTACGTGTCTCGAGGCGTGGTCTACCCCTTTCTGGCTGCTCTCCAAGCAAGCAAAGAGCAAGTGTGTGAAGCAGCACCTGAGATTGTGGGCTGGAAATACACACGGACGTGGTTTGGTAGATTTCAGTGGCAATTACAATTTGTATTCAGGATTTAAATGCAGCTGCATCTCAACTTCCAAGACTTTATCACAACCTTGATGCTTCCTCGCAATAATTTCCTTCATTTGCCAGTTCCCAAAAATGTTCAACAGTTGCCTTCTAACCTGCAAGGCCCGCTCTGACATTCTCCCGCCCTCTGCCTGCAGGGCTCCTGCCTGGTTAATGACCTCTGTAAGTGCCACTCTAATGCATCACAGTGCTCATTTATATATCCTTTTCAGCATGTGTCCCACTGTATTTGTCAGTGTTTCTGGACCAGGATTTGTATGCATGAGCCGGTCAGGTAGCTCACCTGCAGAGCGATCAGCTCGCTGTTAAAAGGTTGCGCGTTCAAATTCTGGTTGGGAATTCACTCAGCCCATCATCCCCCCCCCCCACCCAGGATCGTTCAAATGAGTAGTACTTTGTGGGGAAGTCAACTCGTGGTTGTTTACAGATAGGATCACCCCCACCATAAGAATGTCGAAATTCCAACAATGGCTTGGGGCTGTAAACGGGAAATGAGTACTGTCTCAATGCTCATTTGAGGAGGAAAGAACGTTTACCGTTAAATGTATGTAATGAAGCACAGTTGATCCCATTAATTCCCCTTAAGTATTGGCTGTCCTGACTTACCTTCAAGAATTTGATGCACGCGAGTGTCTCGCATGTACTGCTGCACAGGATAGTCCTTCAGGTACCCATAACCTCCATGCATCTGCAGAGCCTGGTTACATATCTGTGTCGCACACACACAAACACACGCAGAAAAAAATGGGATGTGTCAAAAGCACAGGGAAGAATCCAACGTAAACATCGTTTGACACATTACGGCACAAACCGTTTGTATTTGCATGCAGACGAGTTTCTTTCTGGCTATGTTCCTCTTCTCCCCGTGGCCGCTGTTCCCACATCGAGGTGTGGTCGACCCCTTTCTGGCTGCTCTGCAAGCAAGCAAAGAGCAAGTGTGTGAAGCAGCACCTGAGATTGTGGGCTGGATATACACATGGATGTGGTTTGGTAGATTTCAGTAGCAATTACAATTTGTATTCAGGATTTAAATGCAGCTGCATCTCAACTTCCAAGACTTTATCACAACCTTGATGCTTCCTCGCAATAATTTCCTTCATTTGCCAGTTCCCAAAAATGTTCAACAGTTGCCTTCTAACCTGCAAGGCCCGCTCTCTGCCTGCAGGTCTCCTGCCTGGTTAATGACCTCTGTAAACGAAGCAATTTTTATTTTACCAGGAAAGGCCTACTGAGCTACAGTGAGGGAAAAAAGTATTTGATCCCCTGCTGATTTTGTACGTTTGCCCACTGACAAAGAAATGATCAGTCTATAATTTTAATGGTGGGTTTATTTGGACAGTGAGAGACGGAATAACAACAAAAAAATCCAGAAAAACGCATGTCAAAAATGTTATAAATTTATTTGCATATTAATGAGGGAAATAAGTATTTGACCCCCTCTCAATCAGAAAGATTTCTGGCTCCCAGGTGTCTTTTATACAGGTAACGAGCTAAGATTAGGAGCACACTCTTAAAGGGAGTGCTCCTAATCTCAGCTTGTTACCTGTATAAAAGACACCTGTCCACAGAAGCAATCAATCAATCAGATTCCAAACTCTCCACCATGGCCAAGGCCAAAGAGCTCTCCAAGGATGTCAGGGACAAGATTGTAGACCTACACAAGGCTGGAATGGGCTACAAGACAATTGCCAAGCAGCTTGGTGAGAAGGTGACAACAGTTGGTGCGATTATTCGCAAATGGAAGAAACACAAAAGAACTGTCAATCTCCCTCGGCCTGGGGCTCCATGCAAGATCTCACCTCATGGAGTTGCAATGATCATGAGAATGGTGAGGAATCAGCTCAGAACTACACGGGAGGACCATAGTCACCAAGAAAACAATTGGTGACACACTACGCCGTGGAGGACTGAAATCCTGCAGTGCCCGCAAGGTCCCCCTGCTCAAGAAAGCACATATACATGCCCGTCTGAAGTTTGCCAATGACCATCTGATTGATTCAAAGGACAACTGGGTGAAAGTGTTGTGGTCAGATGAGACCAAAATGGAGCTCTTTGGCATCAACTCAACTTGCCGTGTTTGGAGGTGTAAACATTATGCATTCGGGGTGTTTTTCTGCTAAGGGGACAGGACAACTTCACCACATCAAAGGGACGATGGACGGGGGCCATGTACCGTCAAATCTTGGGTGAGAACCTCCTTCCCTCAGCCAGGGCATTGAAAATGGGTCGTGGATGGGTATTCCAGCATGACAATGACCCAAAACATATGACCAAGGCAACAAATGAGTGGCTCAAGAAGAAGCACATTAAGGTCCTGGAGTGGCCTAGCCAGTCTCCAGACCTTAATCCCATAGAAAATCTGTGGAGGGAGCTGAAGGTTCGAGTTGCCAAATGTCAGCCTCGAAACATTAATGACTTGGAGAAGATATGCAAAGAGGAGTGGGACAAAATCCCTCCTGAGATGTGTGCAAACCTGGTGGCCAACTACAAAAACGTCTGACCTCTGTGATTGCCAACAAGGGTTTTGCCACCAAGTACTAAGTCATGTTTTGCAGAGGGGTCAAATACTTATTTCCCTCATTAAAATGCAAATCAATTTATAACATATTTGACATGCGTTTTTCTGGATTTTGTTGTTGTTATTCTGTCTCTCACTGTTCAAATAAACCTACCATTAAAATTATAGACTGATCATTTCTTTGTCAGTGGGCAAACGTACAAAATCAGCAGGGGATCAAATACTTTTTTCCCTCACTGTATATAGCTCTCTTTGCAGAAGCGACCTGGCCGCAAATGATAGCTCAACGAAGGGGCTTATCATGTGGAAATATATATCAGCCAAATACTCTAAACGCATGTTTCTAAATGTGGAGGGAAACACCGGAGGGCCCGGCAAAACATCCACAGGGAGAACATGCAAACTCAAAATATACACATGTCAGGGTTGGGATCGAACCCACGACCTCTTGTATACCAGGCGAGGTAGTTAACATATCGTCACTTCAGTGTCTATGCCTCCTCCATCCTACACGCTTGTCCCACTCATCACAATTTCCTCTTCTTGGTTATATCTTGAATACCACCTTGGCATATACATTCCAAACTGCGAAGTCGTTTCCTCAATTCTGCTGTACTCCTCACAGCATTACACCTTCACCAGAAGGTATGATGACACATTGCGTGGCAGCCAAGGAATGGGACAGATCCGTGAGGACTTCCACGGAAGAGATGGAGCAATAAAATGAGCTCATATTTAGGTGTTTGGTAGATTGCTACATTGAAGGGTTGTAAACGGTGGCATTGGCTGGAGGAAGTCTTCATCCAGGAGTGGATTGATGATTCCTTACATTATCTAGATCAGTGGCTGTTCACCTTTTACTGCAGCATATTGCCTCTCCGGTTCGCAATCGTAATTTTTTTGTCTATAAATATAAAATGTTGATAAATACATAGGTGTAATGAAACAAAGTAGTTGTATCTTCTTGGTTCTTTCGGTAAAGTCACGTAGAAGGGAAATAATAAAATAATAAAAATCAAACTTAATCAAATTAAATTCTCACGACGTTTCGGCCACAACACAAACAGCCGTCCTCAGGTGAAGAAACAGAACTGTCGTGAGAATTTTATTGTATGTTTTATTTTTATTATTTTATTATTTCCCTTCTACGTGACTTTACTGAAAGAACCAAAAGATGAATCCCTGCAGTCACGAAAGCTTTAAATCGAAAAGTAGTTGTACTTACATAACTGTACTTGTGTTTTGATGATTTACCTTCTAAAAAAATATGGCCATGTCTCGCACCCCCAGAAAGGGCATCTCGCACCCCCAAGGGGTGCGTGCACCCCAGGTTAAGAACCACTGATCTAGATGTACCTGTACAGAGTCTTGAAGTGTGGTCGTACTTACACGCTATCTAAATGTAAATGGTATTGTGTTATAATAACAAAAGCTGTTATAGTGTATTTCTCATTAATAGGGGATAAATCAAAGCCAATAATGAAAAGTTATATATGGTATTGCTGTTGAGCTGTCTAAAGGCAAGCAGCACTCAGCTTACCAACCATAAGAGCTCGATTTTTATTCTCTGGAAGGGCCTTGTGAAGTTTTGCTTTATCCACAGTTAACGACTCACTCTGTGAAATAGACTCATTGCTGTAAAGCCACACGACTTGTGGATTAAAAACATAGTTAATGTAACATGTGGGTGCCCAATACTCCCGCAGAGACATTTCTTGAAAACTCCTAAAAAAGCTTGTCACCAGATGAAGTGGAGTTTGTGGGGAGAAAAATGTCGGTTTACTGCATAATACAGCATGAGACGGCTCGAACCTGGCAAGAGTTTGACTGTGGAATTATTCAACCTTCCGTGGGGATTATTACACTTTTTTTTTTACCAACTCCACATGTCCTTGCGTCCTTGAAAGAAAAGTTTTCTTTTGGAGAAACAATGCAGACATGGGTCACTTGCTCGAAGTTTCATCATAAACGCAAGATTTTTGGTTAGAGCAAAAGCCACTGAACATTACATTCGCAGTGTCTCTTCTGAATTCACAGCAAGCTGGGCAAGCTAGTCTATCAAGTGAGGCACTGAAATTTAAACGTGGAGTTAAGATTTAGTGTGACTGCAAAATATGTCCTCATCCTCTCGTTTATAATAACAAAAAAATGCAAAATACTACCTGCTCAAACAAGCAATAGGGTGGTCATCATCTCAAACAAAAGTCCTACCCAGTGGTGGAAATTCCGCATTCCCGCGGTGGTTACAAGTTTATCTATAGAATGGCTAGCGTTGCTTTCCAATCGTGGTACAAAATGTTATCAATCACAGAGGGATAATGGGCCGAGAGCCCCTGAACTAGGATTCAAGAATAGAAATCAGAGAACTGTAGTAATTTAAGATGTCCCAATAAACAATGGGAAAATGAAAACACCAGGAATTGAAACTGGGTAACGAGGCCATAGTATACTATGATATTATATACACACACACAATCATTTTAGTGAGCAACAATTAAGGACAGTACTGCTTGGTCAGCACCATACCTCGCCAATTTTACTCCCGAGGGCTGAGGTTTACAGTTCTCACGAATAACTCGTGGGTGTGCGAGTCAGCCTCGGGGAGACTCGGTTCTGATAGCACCGGGACAATTGAACGTAGGCTGCAGGTTACGCTGTACAATGCATTAACATGTATGCCACCACTGCTATCACTCACCCACAAACTCTGAACAACTTCTGGAGCATTTTTTTTTTACTTCGGCATATATATTGTATGACGCAATGACAAATGTGTAACTGACGGTGACTTGCTGATGTCTGAAAAATACATTCAACCAATGCAAGCCCGGTGTACGGCACTCACTCACTACTCACTCACTCACCATGCTGCAGGTCACAGCAGGTCACTCACTCATTCATCACCCACTACTCAATCACTCACTCACCATGCTGCAGGTCACAGAAAGTCACTCACTCACTCATTCACCCACTACTCAATCACTCACTCACCATGCTGCAGGTCACAGCAAGTCACTCACTCACCCACTACTCAATCACTCACTCACCATGCTGCAGGTCACAGCAGGTCACTCACTCATTCACCCACTACTCAATCACTCACTCACCATGCTGCAGGTCACAGCAGGTCACTCACTCATTCACCCACTACTCAATCACTCACTCACCATGCTGCAGGTCACAGGAAGTCA